ACATACACATTCAAAAGTTTGGGGTCAGTAAGATTTTTTAAAACTATATATTAAGTAACTATATATTGAGTTCAGATGCAAAAGCCTCTAAGTGCCGTCTGAAATTTTCTTCTAAAATGAGCATTTTTATCAGGCTCCTATATGTATGTTTAGTTATTTCAGTTTAATTGCATATAAAATGACCTATACATTTCCATATTAGAACAAATTTACTGAACCTAAACATAGGAGCCTGATAAAACTGCTCATTTTAGATGAAAATTTCAGACGGTACTTAGAGGCTTTTGCATCTGAACTCTTCATATTTTTTCAATATATTAATACCTATATTCAGCAATGATGCATTAAATTAATCAAAAGATAGATCATTTTTATTTCAAATAAATGCTGTTCTTTTTAACTTAAATCCTGAAAAATAAATTTCATTAAAAGTATTAAACAGCTTAAATGTTTTCAACTTAATCAGAAATAATAACAATCAGAAATGTTTCTTGAGCACCAAATCAACATATTAAAAGGATATCTGAAAGATCATGTGAGACTGAAAACTGGAGTGATGGTTGCTGAAAAATGCAGCAGCTATCAATTCATCATGGAAATAAATTACATTTAAAAAAAATATTAAAATAAAACTGTTATTTTAAATTGTAATAATATTTCACAGTATTATTTAACTTTAATATTCACTGAATATTTGATCAAATAAATGCAGCCTTGCTGGGAATAAGAGATTTCTTTTAAAAATAAAATCACACTTACCTTTTAAAGGGTAGTGCATAAGCTTTTATTAACATTATTTTGTCCTCCTTCAGCTTTATTCTAACACAGTTAAAGGGTCAGATCTAATGAAGGAAATAGTAGAAGGAAATCCTCCTACTAAGACAATAACGTTTCAAACCAGAATGAGAATGTAGAGTTAATTGAATGAATTTGATTATAGTCTCAAGCTTCTTTGAGCTTTGTGACGGTACTGATGTGTATTGGTTTATGTGCCGTGCTCTTACGCAGGTCAAACTGGAACTGAGCACATTGTTAAAATTAATTCAGCCTTAAAACTCTCATTGCAATAAATTCTCATTCTTTATCATTCATATTCTGTGAATAATTGCACAGTTTGAGTTAACACTTGGCCATGTGTCATTGCTATAAATACCCTATAAAAACGCATCAGTTATTTAGTAACACTCATTCAGATTTACAGGTTCATAAAGACCTGAACCGATTCCAGCCTGCAGAGCTTTAGTTTCTCATTACGTGCTGAATACCTATTCCCAGGTGCAGTGGATTCTTTAACCTAGTAGTCATCGAGATGTAATAAAAGCTATTTTAGGTCCCCGTCCTTGATTGCAGTGTGTATACCAGATGAGATCAAAGAAAATATAATGAATCACTCAAAGTTCTCCATTTTATTGGTCTTATTGGTCTTGAATTCCTTGAAAAACAGCAGGTCTCACTGGAAGAACCCCACTGGTTACTTCTAGGAAACATGGTCTGATATTGTAATTAGCCACAGACCGCTAGCACAGACATTCACACATGTGAAGTGACAGAATTGGGTACAGAGATGTTGATTATTACATCAGAGTACCCAGAAAGCAGCTGGAAGATAACGTTTGTGATACAACAAACTAGGGATGCACCGATACCACTTTTTCCAGTACTCGCCCGATACCGATACTTTTATTTTTGGTACTTGCCGATACCGAGTACCGATACCGATATTTTTATTGCATTTGTATATTTTTTTAATATTGGGTACAGAAACCAAAAGGGTATGTATAATGTTAGTTGGTTAACTTCATTTATCAAATAGATACAGTCAAACCAAAATTTTTTCAGACACCTTCAACATTTCTCACATTATCACAGTTAATTCGCTATAGTTTAGAAAATGGTAATAAAATATGACAAGAACTCAGAGTTACACTGTGTCAGAACAAATTCAGCTTGATAATGTTAGATAATTTTGATAGAAAGGTATTTAATAGATTACAATCAACCAAAATAATTCAGACAGCTGTTAGTATGACAGTATTTACATGACTATCAGTACTTTGTCGGGCAGCCCTTAGCCTTAATGACAGCCTGTAGTCTCCTGGGCATGC